GTCCTGGAATTGGTTTGACTGGGTCTGGAGCATACATTAAGCTTAGAAAATCAGGCAGCAGCACCTTCGAGGATGTGTCAGGTGGGATAAAGCACTAGGGCTAAAAATTTTGGGTGGGGGAGGAGGCTGTCTGTCTGTCCTTTTCAGGGCTAGGAGGAGGACCGTGTTCCAATTCTCAGAATTTTGCTGTGGGGGGAAACGGGAGTATCCCGAGAAAACCCACTTTCACTGGTCAGGTGCCAATAATCTACCTGACCAGTGCCCCCACTCACCAAGTAACTGAAAGAAATTTCTTTTTCAGCTTTTTTTATGTGTTTTCTAGGCTGTTTATGTAATTGAATGGTGATATGTATGTGTTCCAAGTTTCTGGTGTTAGAGCTAATTGTTTGAACTGTTTGGTCTGTATGTTCCTATTTTTGGCTATTCTGTAAAATTTTTGTGGCAAGTTGTGTAAAGCGATCTTTGATTGTTGGTAACTTGGTAATGCTGTGTAGGTATTCTTGAGGTGTGTAGCTCGGCAGTCTGTACGCAATTTTAATTGTTGGTAACTTGGTAATGCTGTGTAGGTATTCTTGAGGTGTGTAGCTCGGCAGTCTGTACGCAATTTTAATTGCTCTGTTTTGTAAAATTTGTAGTTTCTTGTATTGGTTATCTGACATGATACATGTCACTGCCCTTCTGTATTCCATGAGTGGCCTGATAAATGCTTGGTAAATTGTTATTATTGATTTAGGTGAACATCCTTTGTTTGTTCCAGCTATTCTGTTTAGGTATTTTACTCTGACATTAACTCTTTTTGTAATGTCCTTGAAATGCGTGTTAAATTTGAAGTGAAGTTTATTCCTGGAAATTTAACTTTATTCGTGAAGGCAGTGTTAACGTCATTAAGTTTTAACTTGAGATTATTGAATTTTTTCCTTGATTTGTTTATTTTTTTGTGAAATGCAATTGCTTGTTTCTTTGTTGGGTTCAATGATACGTGCCACGAGTTGCACCACTTGCACCAGTGCGTGTTGGACTCTGTTCGAGGCTGTACCAGGGTTGCTCAAAATACTCCAAATGGCAATGTCGTCCACGTATTGTGATGTTGGTGTGTATGTTTGTTCAGGGAATGGGATGTTGTTAACAAATATGTTGTAAAGTGTTGGACTGAGTACCGAACCCTGTGGGACTCCTGCAGAGAATCCGAAACTAGTCGAGAATGAATCGTTAATTTTTATCCTGGCAGTTCGATGATTCAGGAAACTTGAAATCCATCTTAGTAATGTTATAGGTACTTTTAGTGAGTGTAGTTTGTATCTTAGTCCATCGTGCCATACTGAATCAAAGGCTTTTTGAATGTCTAGGAATGTAGCTATTGTTGTTTGTTTTCTGTTGTATCCGCTGTAGATTGATTTTGTTAATCTTACTAGATGATCGGTTGTCTGTCTGTGTTTTCTGCCAGAATTCTGATTCTCGTTAATTATGTTAATTGCTTCAAGGAAACAGTTAAGTATTTTTGTTATTATTTTTTCCATGAGTTTACCTAACGTGTTCAATAAGTTAATTGGTCTGAAGTTTTTGGGATTGGATGGGTCATTGTCTTTTTTAGGTATGACTCTAATAATTGCATGTTACCATGCCTTAGGGTAATAGCCAGCTTGTAGTGAGATGTTGTAGATGTCTGCGAGGTGTTTGATTACAGTGTCATTTAGGTTCTTTAGAATTGTGTTGCTGATTTGATCATCCCCAGGGGCTTTTCTTTTGATGGACTTGAGTGTCTGTTTGATTTCTGTTACTGATATGGGTCTTGAGTAGAATTCTTTGGTTATTTTGTGTTCTTATCTAGTTGTACTGAAAAAGTTGGGTTAAATGGTTCCTTGTTGTTGTTGCTAATGTAGTTCTTGATTTTTGTGAAGTGGTCTCTACTGAATGTATCTAGATCAGGGGTGATAAACGTGTCTTTGTAGTATTGTGCAAATAGTTCTGTTTGTTCGGTGTCTGAAGTGGCTGTGATGTTCTTGTAGTGTATCGTGTTTGTGCTGCTTGAGTCTTGGGTTTTCGTTATGTTTTTAAACTTCTTCCAAAAAAGTGCTTGGATCATTGTAGTTTTGGTCGATACTTTTACAGTATTGGTCCCAATTGTTTCGTTGTTGTTCGCGGATTAATTTCTTGATGTTATTACTTACTTTGTTGATGTGGCGTTTAGTTAATTTGTCTCGCGTACGTATAAATGTCCTTCTTAGTTTCCTACGTTCGGAGATTAATTTTAAAATTTCTGGTGTTAATTTCCAGTGACTAGGATTTGTGTTTCTAACTTTGGAGGGAATGATACTTTCCATTGCTTTTTTAATTGTTGTTGTTGTTAATGTGTTGACGTAGTTGTCAATATCTGTTTCTGATGTGATATTCGTCTCAATATTTGGAATATTGTTACATATTAGGCTATTAAATCTGACCCAGTCTGTTGTTGAATATTCGTAAATGATGGATTTAATACTTGGGGTGTTTCTATTACATAAGTATAGTGTAAAACTTATCGGATCACGGTCACTACCTAGCACAGAACCCCGAGACATGCCATTTATAACATTAGCAAAATTAGACTGAACTTCATAAATAACAACCTGATTTTGCCTAATTAGTTAACTTTAAATCATTTAACTATCATATATCCTACACTGGATGAGGCAAATCTTTTCACCAGTTTTTTTATTTGACACCTTTTTAAAACCTTTCTGAAAACCATGTAAATCAAAACCACTCCTTTCTTATCCACGTAAGAAGTAATATCTTGAAAAAAAAAAGTTAAATGATTTTAAGATAGGACGCTCCTTTTATAGTCATGCTGGTTATCTGAAAAAACATTGAATTTCATCAAATGATTCTGCAAAGCATATTTTATCACTTTATAAAGTCTTTAAACCCATTAAAGTGAGACTAACTAAGCAAAAATTCCCCTTCCTCTTTTAAAACTTTTGGGTATATTTTATCAGATATATTATATATTCTTAAAATCTCAAGTTTTTACTAAAAACTCCAAATTAGCATCAAAACCACACCGTTCCAAAACATTTCTTCAAAATAAATCCTGAATAAAATCAATGACCTCCTACCTCATAGCCTCAAAACTGGATTTCTAAAAATTTTCAATTAAAACTGAATTATCCTAGTCAACATGCAGTAAAATATCCAACCTAATTATGCTATGGTCATTCCTCCCACCTCAACACCAGTAACTATATCCTCATTAGATGTTAGCTACAAATCCAGTTCAGCATCTCCCTTCTATCTCTAGTTGGTTCATTAACCATTTGGTGAAAAAAAAAATATTGTGCTACTTCTAGAAACCTATCCACCTCCTTTTCAGACTCCAAATACTCCTAATCAATATTACTGAAATAAAAATCTCTTATGGTAATTACCTGAATTACAGAATATACAATTGCAACTCTCCAAGAAAATCTTGTCAGACACTACCCAAAAAGGTTTAGTTATATTATGAGAAGTAAATAATGGAAGATTACAATGTAAAATGTAAATCAAAGTATAATCTGTTATGGATTTTTTTTTAAAGATGAATAACTATTTTTTTTGTTTAATATGTACTTTTTACTCAAAGTAAAAACTAAATTATAAGTAAAATCATAAATAATAGAAACACAGTTTTTCTGAATAGAGTTTTTCAATGCCAGGGTATGGATTTTCTTTGAAGTTAAAAGACCTGTTGAATTAATGAGAAAGTCTAAATTATAACACTTTCAGAATCACTTGTTTAATTTATTTAAATTGTTTCAATTCAACTTCCGGTTATGTATATATAAATATATATGTCTCACCAAAACAGAACAATACTGCATTTAAATTATTTAAACAGAAAAATATTACAGATGTAGTGTCTCTCATAAACTACATCTACTCAAATATAAATCACAAAACGTTCAGAAGGAAAATATGTAAGAGACAATCACGATGCCACTTACCACACACACCACTTCCTAGTTGTCTTTGAGACCATAGTGGACAATCAGATAATGAAGACTCACTTCCTGTACAATTAGGGTTTTCATATAACAGCTGACTGGAATCATTACTTTTGTGAAACCAGTGATAGATGACCCCACCTGTATACCCTAGCTGCTGGCATACCACTTGGAGATCTGTTTCTGTCCAACTTGAACACAATACAAAATGTTTAAAATTTGCACTAGTACAGTATAACTGGCCTATAACCAAAACACATGAAATGTTTTCTTAACATAAAATTATTCCTATAATAATAGAAGCTTAAAATTTTAAAGTATTATTTTGGTAAATTGAACATTACTGTAATACTTGAAATGACCTAATATATATTGAACCAAAGGATGTGCACTAGATTGCATTGTAAAATGAGCTACCAAAAGTGTTGGTCGTCAAGAAATTAATGTCGCGTTTTAGAACACTTTCATTAACCACCCCCAAAAAACGTACATCACATATAATAGT